AGTATTAAAGAAGTCAAAAGATTTTGATTGGAAAACCAGAGGTGTAGTCTTAGAAATCTTCTCGGAGACAGAGGAGAACAGACAGAGAAGCAAACAATGACAATATCCACAATTAGCAAGTGCACAGCACAGTTTCTGGGCTAACAGATATAAGATGTGCTATGTAAATAGATTTAAGAGAGCAGTATATTCCAGGATAACAATGCAAGAAACTGTATGGTTTTGATCAGTATGGAAATATGATGAACCATATGGTACAGCTCAACTTCTCTGTCACCAGATCTAAAAAACACTTAATGAGGGGACATCATTTGGAAGTTTTTGGTGTTCATGTCTTCAGTAGAATTCCAGAGTTCAGAGTCAAGATGCACTGAAGCTGTTCTGGAAGCTTGTGGTCACCCAAAGTCTTTTATGTGACATTTTATGTTGGTTTTGTAACTTCAGTCTGTAACTTCAGAGGTACAGCAGGATGTTGAGGACACAGAGTGATGGCATTACTGTGGAGCTGTCCGTGGTACCAAAGTGTCAGCGAGGCAGTAGTGAGTGCACATTATGCTTAAAATGGAGACAACTGGACGACAGCTGAGAATGTCTGTGATGCATCAGCTAATCTAAGTAAAACAGAGAGTAACATACAGTCATCAGACAGAGAAGAAAACTGACTCAGACTGCAGGAAAAGTGGACTGGGACACAAGAAGAAGAGACGTTGGTGTTAATGGCAGCGCAAACTATTGCCCCCACAGGGCCAATGCATTTTTATTACGCTGAACTAGAAAGAAATGGCCAGAAAATCCCTTGTGGGTACAGCCCAGCAAAACATAATGCACGGATGTCTAGCGGACTAGTGCAGTATTTAGATGAATTCCAGCCAAAACAATAAAGGGCAAATGGTGGAGAAAATAGATTTTTGCTGCCATTCTATTTACATGGTTTGGACTCTGAGATCCTTAACCTCCAACACAAAAACCCAGATCAGAACTGTCCAGAATAAGTTCATTTATTCTGTACATGAAAACCTTTGTAGATGTAGTGTAAGAACTTACACATACCAAAATACTATTGCCTACTTAACATTATGCTAAAGCTAACTCTAAGTTTAGGTAATACATATGTCCAATTGACCTTTTTCTCTTTCTGGATGTATTCTATTTTTATTTGTTGATGGAATAAACTGAAATTCACTTCGTATATCAAGAAAATTCACCATATCTTACAAAGTCCAGTATTATTTTCCTGCAGCAAGAGAGCAGATAAAATACAACCTTACATGTAAATGTAAATGAATAAAAAATAATATATTTCATCATTCAAATAAACTGACATTCCTTCCTTGCATGTTGAAATCTCGATCCACTGTTTCTGTGTCTTTAAAGGAGTCATCTCCTTTCATGTTCATGTAGGAAATTCACTATTATTATGTAATATCTTGCAGCACATCCATTCAGTGTTACTATATTCAGCCGCGGTGAGCCAAATATATCTACACACTGTGAGCTGCAATAACAAATTCCAACGTGGAAATGGGCATCAAAAGTTTTGCATCAGAACAGATGAGAACCTGAAACATTTTGCCCACATGTTCCTTAACCCAGAATGACTTTTGCAGATTGACACATAAATAAAATATGGCACATAAATAGAGAGCTGCAAAAAACAACAACGATGCCATTGATCTTATCGACTCAGGGTTGTGCACAAAAATAGACTGAACTATTAAAAAAATGAGCATGCAACTAATAAATAGAAGATTTCCAAATGCGTGCACCACTATTATAATGTAAAAACAATACATAAAAGCTCTACATTAATATCAGTGTTTTCTGTACCAATATAATTAAATACAACAGTGAGTTACGGATACTGCAAGTTCAAAGGAATGTGGATACGGCTAGTTTGTCAAGATGAAAATGGCAACTTAATCAATATTCAACATGAGCACACTCTGCTAACGTGCATAAACAAATGCATTACATAAGGTGCATTATTTAAATGTATAAAGGCGTAAGTGCATGTTTAGCTAATGCAATAATAAAATTAGCTGCCTCAGCTGCAGCAGACTTAACAAAGGGCTCCCAGTGAGTATACTATCACTCTGAAAACACTCAATGGGTACAGGGCATCACACACACGCACACACACCCATTCAATGCAGTGTCTCTGTGGTGTGCCAACTCACATGCCTATTACATAACAAGGCTCCTACTCCCAGGCCTAACGCCCCTGACAAATCCATGTACGCTTTGCTGCACATGAGCTATTTATATACTGCACCCAAGACAGGGTTGGTCAAAAATATCACTCCAGTCAATTATTCATTGAGAAACATTCCAAAACAGAGAGGGGAGTGGGTTCAGCTATACAGGAATAGACCAGGGGGATAACAATAAATAATATCCATTAGCAATGCAGCAGCCCGTATGTCCTCAGTGGTACTGAATCTGAAGAAGAAAGGCGGGAAACGTGTAACTGCAAATTTGCCACTCTCATGTGATATGCTTGTATTTATAGAGTCTGTGCATACACTTCAGCTCCTCTGCAACCATCTTGTTCCTTTACAGGATTCTATAAATAGCAGGCTGCTCTGTGCTTGTGCCATTTTTAGTTCTTGCAATTTAAAGGGGGAAAAAAAGGCAGCAGGAAAAAAAAAAGTGCTGCTTCATAAGGACACTATATGGATGCATCTTTTTTTGTGTGTGAATGGACATGTTGTTCCGTCTTTGTTCTAAGATGCTCCACGCTGCATCTGCAAAAGCATATTCAAATAAACTGCTTGGAACTGTCAGGTTTTAATTTATGTCTCCAATATTTATTTACACTTTGTCTGGACGTAAAACATTTTATTTTGTGAAGTGCTATAAAAAAATCATTTATTATCACTTTGCAGGATTAAGGTAAGCTTCTGACTGCAACTACACATAAACAGCTGCAGCCATAAATGTTATGAAATTTACCATACAGAATGCAAAGCTATATATTTTATTTTACATACATTATATTCACATTATCCTGCTAATTGTTAGGTGTAATGAAGTGTTCGGTGTTTTATGTTCTTAAGATCAAAAAATAAAAGGACAGAAATGATGAAAACTTCACTTTATGATTGTATTTCTGTCATTTTAAAATCTTGTCACTGAGTCTAAAGTGATGAGGTTCAACATGTTTTTACCCCAAAAACTATCTGGCCTTTATTGAACAATAATTCATTTGACAATATAAATATATTTTTGAGATTGAGAATGGTTCACTCACATCTACACTTATCACAACTACAAGAAAGTACATGTGCACATCTGTTGTTGCAGATTGTTCCAGAAGGGTACTTCACACCTTTCAGTCAATACATTAGACTAGGGAGAAGATCAGTATTGAAGAGTTTTAATCATTGCTTTACATTTTTCTTTCTTCATTATCGTAATAATCCCTAAAGTTATTTTTTAAGAACCTGGCATCCCAATTGCTGGATTGCTTTAGTAATGTGCACTCATTGTAAAATCCACCTCCTACTAACCAGTACAGATTTTTTAAATCTACTACAATATTTATTGTAACAAATTGTTGTTGTGTGTATCAGTACGACATGCATCACTTCCTGTGCAGTGTAGGACCCAAAGCTTTAATTAACAGGCTCAAGGTTGATTCATTACTAAATAGTAGCAGGTGAAATGTATTCACGCAAACAATTGTGAATTATTTAGATTTCAGTATCTTTATAAATAATGTTAGTATGGCTGAGTATCTTTATTCAGATTATTTACTTAAGTAAAAGTATCAGTGCCACACAAAATAGTGCTATATAGTAAAAATATATTAAAAACCTTATTTAAAACCCTACTAATGTAAAAGCATGTAAGTATCATCATCATAATTTGAGTATGTAGTAGTATCAATGTCAGTTGATGTGTTTGGATTAATATTAGTGCTGCATTAATGTTGATGTTGCATTTACTTATGTAGATACTTAAAGTTGAGCTCATTTGAACTACTTTATACAGCTGGGTAGTTAATTCTACAGCAGTGCATGATATTACATAAGATCATCATATGTTTGCAGCATCACTGTCCTGTGAGAACCACTTATCTCTGAAAACTCAACTTTTCATGAGCTCAAACAAACAGCCGTTTTCAGCTTTGTGACAATGTTTTTTCCAGCTAATCCAAGGAGGGTTTTAAATAGTTTACTTGGTTTAAGAAGGAAAAATTTGTATGCAATTACAGTAATTGAATAAATGTACTTAATTACATTGTTGGACAGAAGATGAACATCAATTTCTGAAAAGCCAGAGCTGTGTGAAACTGGAAAAGCAGAAATTAAATATGACAGATAAGGAACTCTTGAGATTTCAACACATTAATCTGATCAGTTAAATTCAACATGGACTGAATTACAATTCTCAACCCAGAAAATGACCTAATAGTACTGTATGTGAGACATTAAGGTGTAGTAATTTGATATAACAACAGCTTTGCTATTAAACCATTGCTTTAGGTGGTAAAATAAATGAACTGTTCAATATATTCTGATGCCATTTAATAAAGAACATAAATATTACCATGGAAAACTGTGGACCTTTCATTACGGTAAGTTGTAAGAGTTTCATTTCATTCTGCAGTTAGTAGAAGCTGTGATTAAAGAGCATTGAAATTAAGTTTCCACGTCAGATATGCATACGCTAAGGGTATATTCTGTCTTTAAAATGATCTAATTTGTAGATGTAAAAAGTATAATACACCATTATAATAATGACTGTAGGAGTTGATGAAAGGAGGGCGCCTAAAAAGGTTGGACAGTGCCACCACGAGGCCGGGTTTCAGATGTTTACTAGAAAAAGGCTGCAGTCATGTTTATGGCACCAGTTCCCAATTAAGGATTCATAAAGTGTGGCAGTAAAGTGCTAATGATGAAATGCTACAACTTCAAGTTTAATTTTAGCTTCAAGGAGTCGAAACACTTCGGTTTTTATTTCCCAAAGAGACAAAGAACTGACGCAGAGAAAAGAACTGATGAAATCCACACACTGCCTTTAATACTGTACATTTAATACAGATTCCACTTTAAGAGGTTTTTTTTATAGATGGTCAATGGCAAATCCTTTTTCTGCCTTATGATTTCCATAAGTTAAGAAGCAAATGTAATAGCATATTTCAGTTTCTTTCTTTTGTATTTAAATTACCTTGGAGCAAAATCAAACAGTTTGTAGGTCCCATATAAATAGGAATGATATAGAAAAAAGTGCAAAAACTGAGAATTCCCATCCATTTTATGAAGCAGAAATAATGAGGGTATATAGTGTTCAATTCGAACTCATTTAACCTCTCGGTTGAGAGGCACATTCCTTACCATCTGAGCAAAAGACAACAAAAGATAACATCCTTTTCACTTGAAATTTCCAATTAAGTTACATTAAAATATGGCACCATCTTCAGGCACAAGAAACTCCTTGATGCCACCTCTTCATACCAATATGCTAAAAAGACAGTGTTCTTCCAATTAGCAATCAAAATATTGCAGAAGAATTACCTGGAACTTGAGAGCCTTATTCTGTTTTATCCCCTGTTCATTTTTGCAATTAAAGTTAACCTAAAAAAAAAAACTGACTTTGACAGTCATAACTTCTTGAATGTTAGATAAGAGGTCCTGCATTTGAAAGATAAGTTGTAGGGGAAAATTATCTACAGTTGAACTCTGTGACGTTTCAATTTTTGATACCTCATCTTTAACCACATTCAGATTTCTTGCACTTATTTTATGCAAGGTCTCTGTGGTCTTCAGATGAGTGCGTGTCTGTGTGAGTGTGTGTGTGTGTGTGTCTGAGTGTTCTTTATCAGGTGTGTGCATGGTTGCAGGGTACTCCTGGGATCCAACTGGTTCAGTGGTTTAGGGCTGACGGCGTTCCCTCTTGGTGAGCAGGTAACACTGAATGGTTCTCAGTCGATCTTTGGCAGGGGCGAACTCTGGCTGCAGCTTCAAAGTAGACTCGTACCAGCGCATGGCTTTCTCAAACTCCTCCTGCAGTCACGAAACACAACAAACACGTCACGAAATGGACACATGATTTGTCTTACTGGGTAAAACCTGGTTGACTTTCTGTTGCAGCACTGATTAAACTTTATCTGAGCACTAGGTCAGGTCACCACACGGAAACAAATAATGATCAAACAGTAACAGAACATTTGATCATAGTCATTACCATTGCTATATAGACATTAGCGAGGGTAAAGTGGTTCACGACAAAGTGTGGGGCAATTTCTACTGCCATGCGGGCGACGGTAAGAGCATCCTCCCACAGTCGAGCGTTCTGGAAGATGTTGGCCAGGCTGATCAGGGGCACATCCTGGAACACAATTCAGAAAGGAGAAAAAAATTATCTTTTTTTTTTTGTTTAAAACAATCCTATATTCAATAAAAGTAGCAGGTGGGTTAGCTGCTGGGAACAGTTGATGTTTAACTTGCCTTCATGTGATGGGGGGCGTAGTTAAGGGCCTGTCGCAGGCAGTCAATGGCTCTCTTGCCTTGACCTTTCACCCTCCAGTACAGTGCAGCCATGCTGGATAATACCCATGATGTCTGATTCTGTAGTTTCAGGGATTGGGAAAGGGAATAAGTGTACAATTAAAATCTAGTGTTATAGTTAGGTGTTACAATAACCGGGTGATACTGGTAATACGATACGCACAGCAATGGCACTTTCTTCAAATAAATGTGTTGCCTGCAGATCTGCAATTTGGACCAGGTAATTTTACATAAGCAGCCATGAAACTGAGCAGTAATTTGAGTGTTTGACTCAAGCCTTTCCTTCTTGGCATTTTGCCGGTTTCCTCAGTGGGAAAAACCTTGTCTTTAATGGCTGTGATTATTAGATATTCTGAAATACCTATATTTAGGAAATCGGAGGCATTAGACAAATTGAGCTAACAGAACCATGTGAGTCAAAGACTCACGATAGAGTGATATTCTGAATAGCCGCAACAGCTTTAGACAATACAATGTAAAGTGATCCTTTCCAACTCAAGTAAGCATTGCTATTTATTAGTAGTTAACTGTAGCAGGGTACTGCATATTGTAGGAAGGAACCAAAGAAGTTATATATCTTCACTCAAGAAAAAAATGATATGCTGATATTTTTTGTATTTGAAAATTCTGCCACTCCAATTTTTCAATACAAACGTTTCTCTTTAACTAGGAGGGTGTGAGAGCTCTTACCTTCTCCAGTACTTTAGCGATGCGTGTGCCCACCTGCTCAAAGGATTGAGGGGAGAACTTATCTTTGCCGAGATTCTGCAGGACCTGGGGATTAGGACAAGCAGAGACATACCTGAGACTAATAACTAAGAAATGGGACTGTGCTGATTATTTAATAGTCTGACTGTCAATTATGTCACTTTTTCTATAGAATAATAATTTTCCATTTGAGAGTTCCAATGCATTAGGACTGACCTTGAGCATGTATTATCTACACCTGTTCCATGTTCTTTAAATCAAACTACGATTGTCTTGGCTGTTCAGTCGTTAACTACCACGTACCCTTGCTGGCCCTGCCCTTTTTTCGTGATACCAAGCCCAAGTTCCTGCCCCCCTGAAATCTGAATTCTTCACATGAGCTTGCATAAAGCCTCATCTAATACAAGCTTTATGGAAGTACATCTGTGAAAAAATGTAACTCTCTGTTCAATGTATTCACATTAGTTTTGATTGATAATTAACTTGTCTGTCCCTCTGTTGATATATTTTGGCTTCTAATGTGTAGGTATAGAAAGGAGAGAGTATGCATGTTAAATCTTGTAATGTATGGCTTCTTCCTCAGCCTACCTCACGGAGTTGACTCTCTCCAGTGTAGTGGATGGCGGCACGATTGGCCACCCCTGCCAGGTGGTCGAGGGTGTGCATACTGGCAGCTAGGTTGGCGTTGCATAAAGGTTCAGCAGCTGGCTCCTGGAGCGGAGTGGCAAAGTCTATGTGCTCTGTGATGCTGAAAACAGATAGTATAAAATTAAACTTAAAACTGTGTGTATGTCAAATTTAAATCCTTCAGTGCCAACTAAATTCACAGTGATAACAGTAATAAGATGCTTGTTAAAACTCTTTCGAACTGATATGTTGTAATATAACATGAGAAGAAAATGTGTCCATGATCAGGAGTGAGTGATGAGAGTCTTACTCAATGTTCTTGGCAGATACAGCCAACCAGGTGCTAGCTACAGTGGTGAGGTCAACCCTTCGTGTCCGCTGGCACTCCTCAGGCCCTGGCCAACCAAGACTTGTGTAGTCCTTCCAGCGACCTTCCCAAAAACACAGAAAACACAAAGTCGCTCTCAGCTGGGTGAAGTCCAGCACTTCAGTGCTTTCCTCTGGGTTCATGCTGGTGTAAGTAAATAAAATGTAGGTGTATGTTGTACCTGAAGGGCCAGGCGATGGGATAGTTGGCCCGCTTATCTCCAAGACAGAGTGTCCTCCAGGCAGTGACTCCCCAATCTGGCTGTCATCAGAGCTGGCAACACTGTCTGTCCCATCCACCTTAGCCTTCCTGACCCGCTTTACCTGGAAGGTGATCTGATGAACAACAACAAAAGGCACTCACACATTCAGTTTGGCTATGCACACTTCAGTCCCACCCACATCTCACAGAGTTCAACATAATTCTATGTTGTGAAAAAGACCAGACAGGTGCACTTACCCACTCAGCTCCCTCGTCGTCCTCACAGTTTCCGAAGCAGGGCCCACCGCCGGCACGGGCGCCCATGACGCGGTCATTCTTCAGCACCCGGATACCTCGCAGGTCCCCTCGTTTGCCTCCAACATCCAGTGCTCCCTCAAAAGCTCCCATGAGGTCCTCCTTCAGCTGCCACTCCTCTTCCCCTTCCACTCCACCTCCACCACCAAATGGGGTGGCCATTTTAGCTGTTCCTGAGGCAGAGGGAGAAGCCTGCTGCTGTCCAGCTGCCTCACCTGATCCATTACTGTCCAAGATAACCTCTGAAGAGCGGTGGGTAACAGGTATGGACACAGGAGAAGTAAATTAGAGCTACAGGAGCACATAGCACACTAGTAAAGTTAGAAACACTATTTATAGTCTGAAATATTTTTTCAGGGCAGCAGATTGAGTCAACTGACATGTGAGACTGATTTGGTCTAATTCTCAATAGTATTTTGTCAGTCAACTCAAGAAAATGCTATTATACCATTAGAGGACATCAGGAGTGAATAAAGTACATTCAACTCTAGGACCCTCACGCTTGCAATCATTAAAATATGTCAAATTGTATAAAGTATAGAATAATTAATACATATATAAAACAATCTTCTGTTTCTCTTGTCATGCAGTATAAATGTGTGCTATAAATGGAACTGCACTGAAATGAGACTTTGGACCAAACACTCTTTGCTACTGTATACTGAAAAGATTTAGTGAAATATTTTCACTGTTTGATATTGCCACTGAAGGTGTGACAATCATTCTTACTCTCAAAGAGCAAGGAGTCCTCCATGGCAGAAATGGCTGGCGCATCCTGCTTCTCTTCGCTGCCCTCCCATTCCTCCAGCTGTATCCCGAGGTCCTCCTCAGCCACGCAGGCAGCACCCTCTGGATTAACACAAGTGACGTTAAGGTACGCTGTTTATACAAACCTTACCATGATAGTTGCAGCAGAAAAGTATTATAATACAACTGGCACTGACACAAATGTTATATAATCAAATTGTTAAATGTATTCTCAAACACTGCTTCTGTATATTTGTAGATATTTTAGTAAAATACATAGTTTGTGAATCAGTAACTTTGGGAATAAAATGAATGTGTGAGAAGAGAACAATTATCACACTCTTATGTGGGGAGTGTAATCCTAATGTTAGTACAGACAAGTTACTAAGGCACTGTACACTGTCACTGACCGACATAGTGCTTCAAACCAAAGCCCCATCATGAAAACGTTTGCACTAGCTGTTCCCTGGGAACAATTCTCTCCCGGACAGAAAGTGATGCATTTTATTTTTCGAGTCACAGCAACTGTGTTTGTTTTTTTGGAACAAACAAATAAGTCTTTAAGCTTCTCTCTCTCTTTCTCTCTATACTCTGCTGACTCCATTCACCGTCTCAATTTACTTTGCCAAAGCTCTGAGTTTTCAACTTGGAGACTCTGGCTATTGCTAGGAAGACATCAGATATGTGCACTACATTACTGGATGTCACAATCTTGTAGGAGTCATGGGAGACCCATAACAACAGCTGTATAGGTGCAAAGGACACCATGGGCAGACATTTAAGCCTCCAGGACTTTGTTTCAGGCTGGACATAGTTTTTAATGTTGACATGCTTGACAAGATAATAAGAGGACAAGGCTGTTAAGATAATGATGACATGCTCTGCCGTGGATTATACTTCCCAACACAGCAGTATTGCAAGAATGCTGATACTGTTGCAGCCTTGTGTGGCTCTCTTTGTTGCACTGGTATGTTTTCTGTTTCTGCTAGTCTACAGCGATCGCCATTATCATAATGTTGGGCAGTGGAGCTATGGTTGTTTTTCCACAACCATTAAAAAGAATGAGGGCTCAAATTATTACCACTTGTCTGTCTTTGACTGTAGCAACACCCAAAATAAACCAACACGGGATAAAACTGCAGCCAGTCCAGAATTTAACATGAGAAAGGTTTGTGCATTTTTATCTGTATATTTCAACCTTTTCGACCGAACTCAAGGTGGGTGTGTTTTAGAAGTGCTTTTGTGGCCTTATGTACTCAGCGTGCTTTATGGGAGCAATATTTAGCTTAGAGAGTAAAATATAGAGCCTTCTAAATTTGGTATCAGCTATTTTCTGCAGCCTAAATTATTGAGTGGCAAAATTTCTCCACTTCAAAGCACTTTTCTCTTCACTCCCACTGATATGAATATGAAGAAGGTACAGTCTCTATTCACATCAGAAGCACAACATACTACTTGTTTCTCACAGCTACTCTTGTAACTTCAAGGGACAACATGGAGAGTTTCTCACTTTAAGATTATAAAACAAGTTCAAAACCTGCCTGGGCCCACAGCGCATGAGTACATTTTAAGCCCATGGCCATTTTCCAGCTCAACTGGACACTATAGCAGTATCATATATGGTTATTTTGTGACCCTTAATAAAACTGTTTTTAGTTTAGTTTTTTAAGATTGTTTGGAACTTATAACAGTAATTTAGTAATCAGTTTGTGACGAATGCCATTAAAGTAGGAACAACAATAGTGTCATTGAACAGCACTAATATTTTTTATTATGTTTTAGACAAATTGAAAATGAAATGAAAATACTCATTTGATGATGAAATAACTGGTTAGGCAGAACCTAAGTGACTATAACCCGTAATCATCAAAACAACATATTAATGTGTTGCTCTCCATCATGAAATTAAGGCAAGGTTTGATTTCCCTGCTTCTCTCCATTACACAGCTATCTTTATGCCACTCAAATTTAGAAAAGCTTCTCAGCTTCTTGCTTGGTTTACACACAGTTTAATGATGCTAAAAATAATAAATCTTTAAATAATAGCGTCTCCAAATCCCTAAACCTTATTCCAAATTCAGGCTGATGTTCTGAAACTTTCCCGCAGTTCACAGTTTAGTTGCCTGTTATAACTAAATCAGGGGGTGTGCCATTATAAGTGGTGTCATGGCCTCTGTATGGTATTTCCAAATAAATGAATCTATTTCATGTTCTTCAGTATAATACCGCCACCTAGTGACAGAGAGTGAAACTAAAGTTTTAGTGTAGTTAAGTTTCACTCAGCACATCACACACCAGTGCTGCAGGTTACTCACAATCCTGTGCTCATGAAATGTTGTACACTGAAGCTATCGAAGGCCATATTCTTACGTTTTTCTGTTATCTCATAAGTCTTTATTCATCTGAAGCAAATCTGTTAGTTCAGCAACTAGTCTGTAGCCCATGTATCCTACATGTGAAATGCATGTGGTGCATAAGTCGTAAAATAAAAAAAACATTACACTAAAAAGAGACAGAGTCAAATAAGCCTGTGTGTTTGATGCACTTACGTGAGCAGGGCTGTCGGTGTGAAAGATTGTAAAGGAAGGGGTAAAATTGCAGACAACGCAGCAGAGGTAGGCTGGTGCGACACTGTTCACAGCCAGCAAGGGATGAGAAGGAAGAGGAGGAGGAAAGGGCTGTCACCAGGATGTGGCGGAACAAGGCCAGAGCACCTGTCACATTGCCCTGGGCCAACTGCACGCTCACCAGGCTGAGCAGGGTGTGGGGCTGAGGGAGCAAAGCAGAACAAAACAGGGCAACATTAGCTGATGGGTAACATATGTAAAAACTGACTTCAGCTTTAGCAGGCACGCTTCGTATAGGTTTTCAATCTATCTATATTTCTTTCATTCTGATTTTCCATGTAGTGATTTTACTAGGTTGGTCTATTCTGTACACACATCACCTATTACATACGGATAGAGGGTGTTATATGCTGTACAGATTGGAAAGACCCTTGAGGCAAATTTATGATTTGTGATATAAGGCTATAAAAATAGAATTGACTTGATATGTGTACATCCTACAGATACGCAAGGACAAAACAAGGCACATTCATGTTCTCTAAAACTGCATGTACAATAACCCTTTTGCAGTTTGTAGCAATTGAGTGAGGTGATATATTAGGTCATATATTAATACACCGCTATTCCCTAGTGCACTTTACCAGCTCCAGTTCTTACATATTTTTACCTGTGGTTTCTGGATTGGTGTATCATCAACATGCATTGTACAACACTCAAGGTCATTTTATTGGATACGCACAATTTTACCTCTACAAGTCCCCTTTTTTCACAAGATGTTGGAAATACTCTTTAATGATTTCAGTCCATGCTGACACAATAGCATCTTGCAGGTCCTGCACATTTTTCGGCCACACATTCATGCTTTAAATCTTCCCATGGTACCCACAGGTTGAAATGTGGAGAATCTGCAAGCCACTGAACTTGAGATGATGAGTGCTTTGTGACATGGACGCCTCCAATTGACAAAGGGTGCAGTTAGTGGTCATTAAATAGTGGTCGCACTTAGTCAGAAACATTTGGTCATGACGTGGCTTTCAAATGTTACTCAACTGGTATTAAGGGCAGGGTATATTTTGTGCCAACCAGTACGGCTGGTAATGATAGGTAGGACAAAGTACACTTTGTTCCAGACATGTCATGTAAAGGCTAAAATAAATGTACTGTGAAAAACAAATTTAATCATCCAGCAATTTGGTTTTATTAACATGCAAGCCAATGAAGCCCTCCTTACCGCAGTATTTAATTCAGTCTTTAATTCCTGTTTTATTTGTCCTACCACTACTGTTTGAGATATTCAGAGATCTAACTTTAATGTGACTCTCTATTCATGCATTGCTGTTATTGAATTTAATTTGCTCTACATCCATACTGTGTGGTGTGATAAAGGAATTGGAAAGGTTTTTTTTTTTTGGCTAACCTGATAGATTTGAGGAAAACTGTCATACCATATAGAACACACCACCATATGCATAAAATCTGTGTATCCTTTTTTTCAATGCAACCAAAACAGTGGGATCTGCATTTGTATTTAGCATCATATTTAGCATCATATTTAGCATCCAACATCATAGCTCTCAGTTTACTTTGACAACAATACAAAAATCGATAGAATTTATGAGAAACGACAGAATATCACAAAATAAAATATTGTGATATGATACTTTTCATAATTTTTTTAACACAACAAACATGTACCTAATATAGTGGCCAAAACTGTAAAGTAAGGGTAATACTGTGTGTATATCAGAATCAGAATCAGAAATACTTATTATTATACTTATTAATTATTTCAATATTGAATATGTGCAACTCTGAGATGGTAGAACCCAGCAGGTTATGTCTTTACCTCCGATTCATTGAGAGCCAATGCTTGCTCCAGCAGTGTTTGTGCGTGGGTGGTCAAGCCGTGATGCAGCAGCAGGTTAGCGGCGTTGGTGAGAGACAATTGGCGGTGGGATGGTGGGGCTGAGCTCAACACTTGGCGCAGGCACTGCAGGGCACGGCTGCCATTGCCTTTGGCCCGCCAGAATAGAGCTGCCTCATTGTGGATCTGCCAGCGGGGTACATTGGCCTATATATATGTACAAACAAGCTTCTGTTAGCTTTGAAAATGAATGACTTAAGATGGGTTCAGACTGCTGCAGTTGGGAGCAATTTAGAGTGGTCACAGTGATTCAATGATGATCAAATTCTCAAATCTGAGATGCAATTGAGACTTTTTATCAACATGAAAACTATAGTTTGAGTGTGTGAGCATTGCCTCACTAAGAGTAGAGATGTCCCTAGTTGATCTAGTCAAGTATCGGTATCGGGACTATCCTGGCATGTTTTAATGGAATTATTTGATTGCAATAGTGACTGACTCTGTTCTAACATCCGGGTTTGAAAAATTCAATAAGCTCCGATTGTAATAAATCTCTTCTTTCTCCCTTTAAGAAAGAGCTGAGTACTAAACATTCAGATAGCAGCTTCAGGTTTGTGTGCTCTCTGCCAAAGATTGTTTATGAGGTAACATTAAATGAAGTATTACTCTATAACACCACTGTACAACTACAAATGGGTTTTTGTAGTCCCAACAACTCCAGCAGTGTGATACATCATCTCTCTAGCTGATCATGGCACGCCAATGTAAATAGTCACAATCTATCAGTTACATTTTCCTTATTATTTTATTTATTTTGAAGCATATCAACTTAATAGTTTTGAACCATGGCCTTCCGTATTTGGATCAAGCAGCTTGCTAAAAATACAGTGTGTCAGATTAAGCTGATTTTAATGTGTGAGATACATATTAAAATCAACCTTGAGGTGAATGTTAGTATTGGATCGGACTCTGTATCGGATATTAAAGGACTCGTATCAGGACGTGGGCCAAAAAAAACGTACTACTAAAAGGTGAATTTGCATGCAAACATCAAGGGAGAAAAACAAGCATTTTACACTAGGTAGTGAGATACATTATTATGCAGAACAAAGAGTGGGGAGCACTCTTACTTGTTTCATAGCTTCAGCTATTCTGGAGCCAATTTGCTCCAGTGTCCAACCTCCACTGCGTGACTGCAGTATCTGGAATCACACACAGTAATATTAATGACTGGAAACTTTTCTGCACAGTTCCACACAACAAAGAAAACACTCTTATGCAAACATAATTCTGTAAACATACTGCGCATGGGAACTATCTATCTCTATTATTTTCCCAATCAAATGAGACACACACACACACACACACACACACACAAAATAAACAGGCAGACAGATACCTGGGAGGCAGAGGGATCTGGCAGCTCCTTTTCTTCCAGAGGCCAGTCGAGTGAGGCAGGCAGGAGGGCTGGATATGGTTGGGGGACGGGACCACAGTTTGGCAGAGCTACCGCCTGAGGAGAACTGTTGCTCCCATAAAGGAGAGTTGCTACTGGGCTGCATGGACATAATAGAGATATTTCATCATTCGTATGAGGTTAAGTTCTGATGTGCAACTCTGAAAGGCACAAGCTCACTCTTTTCTCACTTAGCCTCAGATCAGTATTCTTTGCTTTGATGTGTGCTGCAGTTTTGAAGATCATTCTGAGTAACTTCAAACTCATGTAGAACGTAGCTATACTGCTGCTATGTACCCACAACATACCCCCATCCAGGAATGTGTACTGACCTGAGGCCCTGTGTTTCAGGTGGAAGGTAGTAGGTTGGCAGCAGGTGAGCAGGGGGGACACTTGGGTACTCATTGGCACAGTCACTCCTCTGAGGCCACAACATCCTCTGTATGTCCTAAAGCAAAATCGCACTTTTATTTCTACAGACCAAAGCTTGGTGTTCCTATCCTTTTACCAAAACATGACCCCTTTGATGTCAAGACTTTTTTTTTTTTCAATTTTACATTATCCCTACTATAGTATGCCATTCTTATCAGACATGTTTGTATTTGTCCATTCAATTATCAAGAGTATACAAGTAAGAAAAATGAATAATGCTGACTTTTTTTTTTTACCTCACATGCATATGCAAGACAAAACGTGAGCCAGCAGTTTTTCTACAGTAGTATAACTATGTTTGGCAGGTCTGGCGTGGTCTCTGAATTTTGCTGAGTGTTCATTAGCATTGCAGAGGTATCATTTGTCCTTTTGGTTTTCATTATACTCCAGTCACAGAGCTGACCTGCAAAAAAAAAGGAACTCAAACATAAACTAAAACAATCAAACATAGTTCTCTGCCCTACCTGTGTGTAATCCTGATGGCTGCCCCAGAGAGCAGCAGCAGGGTCCTGGTCTCCAGAAACAGAGGGGTGGAGCTGGGGGCTTGCTGCAGTCTGGTTTGAGTTGCGCTCTGACACAAGTGCCACACTGGATGCCACTGACACCTCCTCCCCAAACTGTGAACAAATTAAGAAACAAAAGGATTTTTTTCTTTGGTAATGTCCCCACTGTTTGTTTGCTTTCACTGATAAATATTCACTAAAACCTGCACAATAAAAGAAAGGTACTTTTCACAACAGAATGGAATTTGTGCTTTGTGGGCTCCCCTTAAATTCTCTAATAATCGCCCCCTCCTTATCCCTTAAGTGCATGGTAAGATCTAAAAAGACTCACTTGGACATAGTGGACATGTTCAAACAGATCGCCACGGTGATAGCGCACAGGCAAGTCAAAGGGGCAGTAGAGGCTGCGCTGCTGCTGACCCAGCCGACACATCTGATGGTTCCCTGGAGAAGATATGACACACAGTACTCAGGTGCTGCTCTACATTTTCTGCCAAATCTAAGGATGTGTATGTAGCAATGTGCATGAAGATCATCATGCCACAATGACACATCATTTCAAACTACTCACATTGGTCAGCTTGCTTACTCACCCCGATTCTCAACATATTCTTTCTTGACCAACTAAAGCATTTATCTTTTCCCAATTTAAGAATACAATAAGAAATACACACACTGCACACCTCATGACTGTTATACGTGTTCTCAGTTCTATTTGCATGGCATCTTACCAAGCTGGGCTTCCTTGGCCATCTGGGTCTCGTGGATAATGTTGCGGAGGATTTGCTCTTCCTGCAGCAGCTTGTGTTTGTCCAGTGCCTCCTGCTGGCGAAGGTAGTGGTCATGCTGCTTCTGGTACTCCTTCAGCTCATTCAGTGTCCGCTGCAGGGATCTACAAATATAGTAAAATGAGGAAGGGAAAAACAGTTGGCATGGTAATGCATAGTAGGGAAACACAACATATCACATGATCATCCTACAACCACAAGACCGATGTTAAAGGCTTGGTATCTGCAAAAAGAAAAATTCCACTCTGTATTCATGAGAACAACACTGAGTCACTCTCTGCCAGCTCTGGGCACCTTCTTTTACTTACATACTCTGACCTCCCCATGGAGTGCCAGGAAATTTTCCCTCCTGGGAAATGTATTTTGGTTTAATTGTAATCCTTAAAAATCCCCCAAATATACTGAATGATACTCTCACATTTTCCTTGCAATCCACTGTGGGTTTTTATAAAATCCTAGACCAACAGTTTTAGGTACTCTAAACTGCATAGCAGCTTAAAAGTCCATTTGTAATTCAGCCCCATTCGTGTCGTTAATTTCCATTGTTAAACTAAACTATGAAAAGGATGAAAAGGAAAAAAAAAAATCAGACAACCTAACCCAGGACCAAACGTGTGATATATCGGTGGGCTGATTTGTCACTGGTGTGCCTCACAGTTGCACGCAATAGGACAGGTTTGGAAATGGTCTGGGTATCACAGAATATCTTTCCTCTCTGTGTTGTTTTGCTTTTGTTTACAGCATGCATTAATTCAGTGGAAACAACCACAGTCCTTAGGGTGTGCACATATGTATGTATGTATGTATGAGTGCTTGCCTACCTGTGCTGGGCTTCCAGGCGCTGCTCCAGCTTTTGCTGACAGAGCACAGCATGTTTCCTCCTCAGGGCCTGCTCGAAGCCTGGCTGGGCCTGCAGTGCCTGCTCGTAACACAGGACTGAGTGGTTGTATTCCCCAAGCATCTGGCCAGACAGCGATAACAGAGGAGACAATCAAGACCATGGATATAGCAGAGGTCAAACCCTGATTTGTTGTATGTAAAAAAATCACACTGTAAGAAAAATAAAGGAACTAAGCAGACTAAATAGTACCACACACGGGTATAACGCTTTGGGCACTCTGACAGAAGAATTACATAAATATTAGGGGTGTAACGATTCACCAAATCCACAGTTCGGTTCAGACCTCGATTTTTGAGCCACGGTCTTACCTGCCATAGAGTAGAGCTTCTTGTATGTGGTCAGCGTTAAGTCTTTTTGTGTGTGGCCACCTTGTTCATTAATACATCTCTTTTGGGTCTAGTAGATAGGCCTACCAATCACGGTCTTGTGGTTAATTACATTATATATAATGGCCTCCTGCATACTTGATATGGCGAGCACAGACGCAAGTGAGAGAACGTATATTTCTGGGGAGAAGTCCACAGAGGCGCGGGTCCTTTGCGGTTTTATTATATTGCTGAGATTACTGCCTTTTTTATCAGGTGGCCTACAGTTTGTTTATATCCCACCCAGGAACACAATCCGATTGCAAACCACAGTTGTTACGTTTTTCTTTATGAAGTCTCTGGGCAAGAGAAGTGGCGCTTCTTGAATTGGAAGGCCCTTTGTTCGTATCTTGGTACAGTGTATTCTGGTACGGTGAATGTTTCAGTTCAAAGTTTTCCACAGTGATAACGGCCACTTTTCTGTGTCAGTTATTAGTATAATTGAAAGTGATGCGTATCTTACTCAGTCTTCACTACTTAGATTTTTTTTTCTGAAATGTATTATGGAGCCGTAACACTAACTCTAGATACAACGAACCTCAACAGGTAACTCACTTTTATTCGGCTGCTCAACCGGTGTTTTCTGTGTACACCCACGCGCGAAGCGTCTGCGATAACAGCGCGCACCACAAAGCTCCACGGTCTGCGGTCGCGGATCCAGAAGAACACGAAACCGACGACACACCTCGTCCCTGCACGTGTCCTGCAGCTCTCGTTACAAGACAGTGTTACTGCCGGCGGTGGCGGGCCGTGGGGTGGTAGCCCTAGTTTAGGCCTCTTCGATCATCGTATTTGTAGCTTATGAACTAGTGAAGGTGTTTGTCTTAGCGGTCGTCTTCACTGTTTTACACTTCTTAGTGCTTGATTGACTATCTTTAATTCTGCTTCCCCTTTCTTCTTCTCCCACACTCACCGATAACACCGGCAATTCAGCACACACACCTTACGCCGATCTTCACTACCACGGAAAAGCACAAACGCCCGCACCAGATGCATTTTGCTAACCGCCTCAAGATGTTCCTACGTTCTTCTTCTCATCTGCGCCGCTCCCGATGTGTTGTGTTTGTTCTTCACACGCATATAGCACTTGGTGGTTCGGCGCGACCATACCAACCAAGATAAATCTAATACTCCCTCAATTACCACTCCATGGAAAATGGTTTTCAGACCGACCTGCACATGAGGGTCCAAGACCGAAACTTATACCCGTTTAGATGAGTGACATCTCTGCAGTGGTGCCCGCCGTCAAATATATCCACACGTAGTTAATGGCTACAACAACTTTCTGGCCGTATCCTTGATGTAATATCAGATACCATCTCTCTCTCTCTGTTTCCTCTGCCAAAATGGGGAAACCGGGAAAACCGCGGTAGAATCCGAACCGTGCGGCTCAGACCGAGGTCTGAACCGCGAAACTGTGGATTTGGTGATATCGTTACTTTCCTAATATTTATGTAATTCTTTCTGTCAGAGTGGCCAAACGTTATCCCTGTCGTGGTGTGGTACTTATTTTGCTTATCTGCCTTAGTTCCTTTATTTATCTTAAAGGTGGTGATTTTTTTTACATACAAACAAAGGCTGTCAGGTTTTGGACCTCTGCTAATATCCATGGTCCTTGATTGTCTCCTCTGTATCGCTGGGTGGCCAGAATGCCTTGGGAAAATACAACCAACTCAGTCCTGTGCTTACGAGCAGCGCACTGCAGGCCCAGCCCAGGCTTCGAGCATAGCTGCCCTGGAGGCGCAGGAAACATGCTGTTTGGCTCTGTCAGCAAAAGCTGGGAGCGCAGCGCCTTGGAAGCAGGCAGAGATAGGCCAAGCATCATACGATACATACATACAATATTGTGCACACCTTAAAGGACGTGGATTTGTGTTCCCACTGAATTAATGCATGCGTAAACAAAAAGCAAAACAACACAGAGAGGGAAAGATATTCTGTGATACCGCAGACCGATTTCCAAACCCCTTTGTCTATTGCGTGCAACTGTGAAGGCACACCGAAGTGACAAATTCAGCCCACCGATATATCAACACGTAATTGCTCCTGGGTTTGGTTGTCTGATTTTTTTTTTTTCCTTTTATCCCTTTTTCATAGTTTAGTTTTAACAATGGAATTAACGACACGAATGCCTGAATTACAAATGACTTTTAAGCTGCTATGCAGTTAGAGTCCTAAAAACTGTTTGGTCTAGGATTTTTTTATAAAAACCCACAAGTGGATTGCAAGGAAAATTGAGAGTATCATTCAAGTTATTTTGGGGGGATTTTTAAGGATTACAATTAAACCAAAATACAATTTCCCATGGAGGGAAATTTTCCTGGCAAACTTCAATGGGGAGGTTCAGAGTTATGTAAGGTAAAAGAAGGTTGCCCAGAGCTGGCAGAGAGTGACTGCAGTGGCTGGTTCTCATGATAATACAGAGTGGAATTTTTCTTTTTGCAGTCCAAGCCTTTTTAACCATCGGATCTTGGGTTGTAGGATGATCATGTGAATATGTTGTGTTTCCTACTATGCATTACCTATGCCAAGCTGTTCCCTTCCTCCATTTTCTTATTGTAATCACCTGCAGCGGACACTTGCCGAATGATCTGGAGCACTAGAAGCATCATGACCACCTACATTCAGCACAGCAGGGGACTGGGCACACAAGCTGCAGGAGCCAATCTCACGCAACATTCCCGACGCTTCCAGTCAGGCACAGGCCACAGCTATAGGATGTCTGCTGAATGAGCACGTATAACAGTCATGAAGGTTGTGCAGTGTGTGTTTTTTATTGTTATTCTTAAAATAGAGGAGATAAAGACATAAGCTGGTCAATAAGAGAGATATATGTAGAAACGGGAGGGATGAGTCAAGACAGAACACATGTTGAGTAGTTGAATGATGTGTCATTTGTGGCAAGATGATACATATACAGACAACAATGCTACATAAACATCCTTAGATTATGGCAGAAAATGAAGATAGGCCACATGATCTGATAGTGACAATACATTCATCCAGGGAGAACAACAAGATGTGGTACGGGCTGGGTCAGCCAGCAAAAGCGCAGCCTCTATGCCCTTTTGACTTGCATGGTGCGCTATCACGTGGCGATCTTGTTGAACATGTCCACTATGTCCCAAGTGAGTCTTTTTTAGATCCTTCCATGCACTCTAGGGATAAGGAGGGGGCGGATATAATTAGAGAATTTTAAGGGAGCCCTACAAAGCACAAAATTCCTTTCGTCTGTTGTGAAAAGTAGACTTTCTTTTATGTGCAAGGTTTTAGTGGAATATTTATCAGTGAAAGAAAACAACAGTGGGGACATTAACAACAGAAAAAAAATCCTTTTTGTTTCTTAATTTGTTCACAGTTTGGGGAGGCAGGTGAGTGGCAAACTCCCAGTGTTGGCACTTTGTGTCAGAGCGCATGGTTCGCAAGAACCAGGGCCGGCTCAAGTCTCTGGGCTGTCATGCCAGTCAGGTTTTTATTTTCTTTAACATAAATCAGGCAGCAAGATGAGTAGGGGAGCGCGATGTGCGGCAGGCCTCACTCCCGGCTATTTGTTACCGCTGTACTCCCAGTTCCCATTGTTAATATTAGCTTTCACTGCAACGTGTATCGTGTATCTCAGTATGATTTTTATGTTTTTAACTCAGGGAGTTAAAAGCTGGGCCCCAATACATTGCAGTAAAACAGGCTGCTAAAATTACTGAGGAGTGTATAAGTCTGTATTGTCTGATACAAAAAAAGCTCTGTGGGTTGAAACTTTAAGCTTAAGAGTAACAAATCATATTAAATGAGCAGTGACTCATGATACAATTATAAAGAAAGGTATGGGTATACTGGGAGCTTCCTGTTGGCTACACGCACTTAAGCAAAGTTGAATGATTCAAAAGTCCACTGTGACTGTTGATTCTAGTTCAAAGCTCCAAAAGAGACTGCATCACTTTAGGAGTCTTTACCACAGTTACTTTGTAGGTATTTAAGCAGTTTTCCCAGATTGGGATTAGGGAATGGATTGGCTCTTACATTATATGGTTCTGTTTTTAGCGTTAGGATGCTTTTCACTTCTTCTAATGAGTATGTCATGTTTTTCATATTTTCTATGCCAAGGGATAC